AAAATGAAAAACCGTTACCGTAACTGTTAAATTAAGATTTAAAGAAATAATAAAAAAGAAAAGACGTTCAACATCAGCTTACAATGTAAAAGTTGACCAAAACGCAATTTACTCTCCTCACCTTTTGCTGTAAGGCGGAGTCTAAGCTCTCCCGAGAGTCGGGACGCGATGACGAGGCTCTGGAAGGTAGAGAGTCGCGCTCCATGCGGGTCACCACCGTCTTCAGTCTCTCCCGTCTCTGCTGGTCATTGTCTGCAGGGGGGGGGGAATAAAAATCATTTAAATTCTACAGCCGCTCCAGCCAATCAGAAACCACCTTTCCCTGATCTGCCAACAATGGAGTGATAGGATTGTCTGCGATAATAGTGCATTTTGAATTGCCTTAAAGGCCTTGCTCCCTATTTGCTGCTACGGCGTGAACATTGCATCGTGGGATGCCACGAGGGGGGGAGGGGGGGGCTCACAGTGTGCAGTGAAAACAGAGGAGGCAACTTAAGTCCAGGAGAGGAGCCGGTACAACTGTGCAAGACTGAGGGAAGGACGGAGGTCACATAGAAGACTGAGGGAAGGACGGAGGTCAGATAGAAGACTGAGGGAAGGACGGAGGTCAGATAGAAGACTGAGGGAAGGACGGAGGTCACATAGAAGACTGAGGGAAGGACGGAGGTCAGATAGAAGACTGAAGGGAAGGGCGGAGGTCAGATAGAAGACTGAAGGGAAGGACGGAGGTCAGATAGAAGACTGAAGGGGAGGACGGAGGTCAGATAGAAGACTGAAGGGAAGGACGGAGGTCAGATAGAAGACTGAAGGGGAGGACGGAGGTCAGATAGAAGACTGAAGGGAAGGACGGAGGTCAGATAGAAGACTGAAGGGAAGGACGGAGGTCAGATAGAAGACTGAAGGGAAGGACGGAGGTCAGATATCGGCATACTTGTATCGTTGTGATGGATGTAGAATGTAGAGGAACACAGACCATTGGGTGTTCTGAGTGCAGTTCGGGGAGGACTGATGGGCTGAGCGGCTCTCACAATCACAGGGCTATAAATGCCTCCCGGGAGAATCACATCAAACACGGAGATATCACAGTCAGGGCCGGCCTTAGGCCTTTAGGCGCCCTGTGCGAGAAAGCTTTACAGCGCCCCTCAGTGACCACACCCCTCAGCGGCCACACCCTTTTGTGGCCACACCCCCAGTAACCACACCCATCTTCCCCAATATTCGCACCATTTAAAGACTCATATTTTGTTAAGCCGCAAAGAAAAATTAAAAAGTGTGATAAAAATAAAACTTTTATTCAAAGGTATTAAACTTGTAGGCACAATAGAAGTATTTTTATCAAATAAAACAGAAGGTAAACAATAAATGTCAAACTACAATAGAGTTTATAAAAATAAAGTGTCAGGTTGTCATGCCGATCCTTTTTTCAAGTCAGTATATCTAGAAAAGTAAAAATAGAAAACAGAACACAAAACCTAGACTACTTGTAAATTAATGAATTACTATATGTCCGAATATACGAGAAATGTATTCAGGCACATAATAATAATAATTTGTTTGAGAATGTGCGGCGGCCATGTTGGCCCCCGGTGTGTTCTGTGAATGCGTGCCACCATCATAGAGGCGGGGAGCATGACGTTACATGACGCCATGCATGCGTGGCGTCAGGTGACGTCACACACCGATATTGGCCCCCACCATCTTGGTGTATACCTAGATATACACCAAGATGGCGGCGCCCAACACGTGCGGTGATATATGACGTCATGCGCCCTGCCTCCTGAACACGCCAATGGCTGAATCCAAAATAGCATTAAAAAGTGTTTTGTTTGATGAAACAAATGAAAACTTTTTTTGTTTTTGTTCATTTCATCTGAAATGAATTTTTTGTCTTCGCACATGTCTAATAATATGTGTGTGTGTGAGGAGGGAGGGGGGTTTTCACTTTTT